ATTTAGACGACAAGAATAACCGGGAAAAAAACTCCATGTTGCTTTGGAACACTAATGTGAGAGGGAGGGGTCATCTGTACCATTCATTTGAATCATAGGACACACAGGTCTCAAATCAATGACTCAATGGGTTGATGATCTGGAAATAGATAATAAATAATAATCCCTCAATTAATATAACATGTGGTTGTGCAGTCAAATACGATGGCAGATTTACACCAGGTATTTCCCACAAATTTTTTTTTTGTCACCTGGTGTCTGAAACATGCATAAACCCATCACCATGCTTAAGAGTATCCAAACCAAACTGAGGTTTCTATACGTTCATGTCACCTACACATGGAAATTCCCCTGTGTCTTGAATGGAATGCGTGCTCTCAGGGAGGGATGCATCCTGCTTACCAAAATTCCAGAGAGTATTTGGAACGGTTGGCAAGAGCCAAAGCTTGGGAACCCCAGAGTGTGCGTTGGGGTAACTGCTGTGATCTAACCAGCTAAAACCGCATAGCTTGCGATTGAGAGCACTGTCTGGCAAGCTTCCTGCTGCTTGCACAGCTAGAACCACTACCCATTAGTGCTTTCGCTTCCAGGGTTAATAGGAGCTGAGTGTAAATAATCCTTGTTCCCAATGAAAATAATAATAATCCTTGAATTTGATATTCTGCCTTATCACATCATTGAAAGGTCTCAAATCACTTCACAAGATTTTACACAGTGACAGTGTGTTGTGTAGGTAAATGTGGCAGCCAACTTGCAGGCAGCACTGTCTGGCAAACAGCCATGAAGTGGATGATTGGATGGCCAGGACACCGATAGAAACTCTCTTCAAACTCATGCAACTGCAATGAGATGAAGTACCCAGATAAGAAGGAATATTGGCAAAGGAAAGTTATTTATTACACTTACAGTTATCAATTGGTCATCCTTGTCTATGTGACATATGGCCAATGGTGACATTGAGAAATAATAATAATAATCCTTGCATTTGATATAGTGCGTTATCATGTCATTGAGGCATCTCAAAGCACTTCACAGGATATGCTGTGAACGACAAAACAACAACTTGCACTTATATAGCATCCACCAGGCAGGGTAGCAACCACCACCATGACTCATATCCTCAGGGGAGGAAGGTTAAAGGAAAAAAGTAAGAGGTCAAATTAGAGAGAAACACATCAAAGGAAGAATCGTGAAGCAGAAAGATTACAAATATTCATATCTCTATTATTCTATTAGGGAAGAAGGTCATGAAGAAACCATAACACATAATTTACTGAAAAAACAGTAGATATGTGTTAAATTGATTGATAAGCACAACACGTTTCTTGTGGTTTCTTGAACTTGCTCCACAGAAGCTCAAGAACTGCATTAATTGGTACATTTGTTCCTTACGTCAGAAGCAGCTTATTAACTGATTTCCTGCCCAGAATCATAGAGCAGGGCTGAAACCCATACTAGGGGGGTTGTGGAGAAATGGTGAGGATTGTATCACTTCACAGTAGATGAACACACAGCAAAACAGTCAGAATTGAAGTTTGATAGCAATTTCGATTGATTTGGTGTCTGAAACAAAAGTGGAAAATAAGCAAAATCTGCCATGAAGAAGGTTTAGATATGTTTTCAGAAACACTTGCAATACGTTTATTTCAAGCGTTTCTGACAATAACCAATAGCCCTGAAACATCTAGAATATGTTAAAGAGCAATGTGACATTGATACAATGTGTTTGTGGAAAAAAATCATCCTTGCATTTGATATAGTGCCGTTCACATCAGTAGGCATCTCAAAGTGCTTCACAGGATATATTAACAAGTGCGGTGACTGCATAATTTGTAAGCAAGAGAGGTAACTCGGCTAATTATTCTCACCGATTTAAACCAACCTCAACCAGGTTATGATACCTTCTCATAATGTTTATCATGATTTTATTTTGGACTGACTGTATAAAGTATTGAAGAAATGATATGAAATTATAATAATAGACCTTGAATTCCATATAGCTCCTTATCACCTCACTAAAACATCCCAAAGTACTTCACAAAATTATTGTAAAGTCCAGTGACTTTAGGCGAATGCAGCAACTAAGTTGCATAGAGCAGTGTCCCATAAATAGCCATGAGATGAATGACTCATTATTATCTGAGGAATTCTTGGCCCAAGACATCAGGAGGAACTCCCTTCTCTTTTCAAATAGGGTCATAGGATCTTTAACGTCCACCTGAACAGCCAATGGGACCATGCTTTAATGTCTCATCTGAACGTCAACACCTCTGACATTATAACATACCCCAGAATTGATTTGGAGCATTAGCCTGGATTACGAGCTCAAATTGCAGATGTGGAGCTTGAACCCACAATCTTCTGACTTCGAGGCAAGCGTGCTACCAACTGAGCTCAGCTGGAACCAGGCTGGCAACAATTCATACATGTCCACATAAACTTTTGAAGGTAGTTGATCAGAAAGCTGAAACAACTTTCAAGAAAACTATTTTGTGAATCAGCATATAGAAAAGGATAATTTTGGCTTATATTAATATAAATAATAATATGATAATTTTTGCATTTGACAAAGCGCCTTATATTGTCGAGATGTTTCAAAGCACTACAGGACTTTACTGTGAAGAGTAGTGACTGTGTACCTTTTCACTGTGTACACACCAATTCCTCTACAAAAATAGATCACATCAGGGCAGACATCATGCAAATCACTGTGATGTTCTTTCAGTTCATTAATTAAGAAAGCCCCACATATCAACAACAACTTGCATTTATATCGCACCTTTCATGTGTTGTAGTGTGTTGGAGTATTAGCATGGGCACAGCTTACTGCCAAGTCAGGGAGAGGGGAGGTGACCATAGGCACAGTCCAAGAGGAAGGCCTTCAGGAATGATCAGAAGATGGGCATCTGGGGGGAAGGTAGAGGGATTGAGGCACAGAGTTCCAGAGTTTGGGGCATAGTGCCTGAAAGCACAGGTTCGATGTGGGGAGGTGGGGGGCGTGGGGGAGCGCGGGAGTGTACGAGGGACATGCAGGAGTCCAGTTTCAGCTGAGTGAGGGGAGGTAGAGGAGTGGGGTGCAGCAGGTTGGTCAGGTAGGGAGTTGTTAGGGCATGAACCACAACTCATTTGTAAGTGAGCGTGAGGATTTTTAAATCGGGCTGTTCTGGAATTAGGATCCAGTGGAAACTGCCAAGGGCTGGATGCGGACTTTAGTACAGTTGAAGATATGAGTAGCAGAGATTTAATCAATTGGAGATGAACACCATACACTGGAAGAATTCCCCACATATCAGATACCATGTTCATTGACTATCTTCCTTGTAACTGACCTTTAGTAATTCTGAGTCATTTCTCCAGTGATGACTTTTGGGTAATTACTGACAAGTGTCTGTTTCTATTGGCAAATGCAACATCCAATTTGTGCATAATAAGGTCCTATAAACAGCTCTGAGATATTAACTAATTTTAGCTGAAGGACTGGTAGCCTGAACACTGGGAGAAACTCTCATTTTGTTTGAATAAAATGACATCATTGTTATCTAGAAGATCTATTTCAAGAGCAATAAGATGATTACAAATTATCAGTATTTTATTCCTACTTTCTATATAATTTTTACTCGAACTTCAGTCACAGTTATTGCTTTTTCTCAGATCAAGCTATTCTCTGAGGAATAGGTCAAATTGTAATGACATAAAGATGTTTACCTATAATAATTTCAATCCTCATCAGTTATGCAGTATTAATCTTCTATGTTGGCAACAGTATCTGTTCCTTATTCTAAAAATATTATCAATCAGTTGATAGCATTATTGTTCAACATCTTGTTATCAGCATCAACTCAACCTTTAACTCCGAAGCAAATTATACAAAGCAGCAAATAATATGTTTGTTCAAGAAACTGTAAGCTATTGAACATGATGGAAATTTGGTGCAAGATTTGGAAGAAATGTCAATTTTAGGCACTGACCAATTTCCACTGAGTTCCACCTTTACCATTCTGATATCAGCAAATCCAATAGCTTCACTGGTTCCATTCTGCAATCATTATTTGGTAACAAAGAACATTTTTTCCCTGGATCATCCTGTGTGGGTTTACCTACGAAGAAATGTCAATAGTTGCTCGTGACATGTCTTGATGTGATATGGTACTGTAAAAATACAATCTTCTGTTTTCAAAGTTGTCCAAATATACAACCAAAACAAAAAAAAACATGGGACGTGCTCTGGTTTCAATTTGGAAGAAAGGGTTCTGAGTATGCATTCAAATTTGATCTCAGGTTGAGGCCCTAAAATAGTAGTGAGAAATTGCATGGTTATCAAATGCCACCTTTAAAGTCCTTTTTTTGATTAATCCAGTCTTGAAATTCATAAACAATGTTTTTGTTCATTGAGTCTTATTGAAAAAGTCTCCAAGCATCTCCTCCTCCTTACATTTGATACAGTGCCTATAATGTTGAAATGTTTCAAGGCATGTAAGAGTAATTACTGTCAAGTGTAGTGATTGTGTATTTGTAGGTGAAAACGACAGCCAATTCTACACAGCGGAGATCCTACAAAAAGCCAGGAAGTTAATGACCAAGTTTATCTGGAGAATTATAATAATAATATTCCTTGCATTTGATATAGTGTATCATATAGACCTCTCAGCACATCATAGGATTTACTGTAAAGTGACTGTATTTGTAGCTGAATGTAGCTGAAATAGCCATGACGTGAGTGACTAATTTTATCAAGTGAGCCAGGCTGACACCCTGTGAACACAAGGTGAAACTTACTTCTGTTTTCAAATTATGAATTCTTGAACATCCACCTCAACAGACAGCATCATCCAAGGATGCTGGGATCCCCCATCCGTGCACTGGAGTCAGAACCTACCCCATAAGCTCACAAATTCCAATGTGAAGCTTGAACCCACTGTCTTCTCAGCCAGAGGCAAGAGTCCTTCCAACTGAGTCAGGTTGACTTTTCAATGAAACAAAACGTGCAACATTCTCCAATTGTTAAAAAGCCAGTTAATTTATTGATTAGCAGTTGTCAAACTGGTAAACTAACACAAAACGGCATTTTACAACATGTACATGTGGTTCACCAGACATTGGTGAATATAAAATAGAACTAAGTATAAAGTTATTAAATATCATAGATAATAAAAGATATGACTGCTGAATATTCTTTTCCTGTGTCTGCAGTACAATTGATATACTCTACAAAAGTACAAAATTGCAGTCAATTACCAAATCTTAAAAGATCCAGCTAGGTTGGAGACAGAAGCAATTCATACTATATACAGTTAGCAATATGCAACACAGTCCGTTGCCTTGTGTCCTTAGTGAACAAACTCCTGAGAGTCCACAGCTGCCAAATTGCGTTGTGTTAACATTCTTGGAGGAAGCGTCAGTTCCATAATAATGAATGAAAGCCGTATTCATAAGGATACAAAGGCATGGGGGAGAACAGGAGCACAACTGTCCACATGGCACTGTGACCAGCTTGAAAACGATTTGTTGTCAGCTTCTTTAGTATTTGGTGAAAAACATATTAAAGACAGTCATACAGGAGTCATGTTATTACACACCTATTCAAGGGTATAAAGTCTCTAATCCTCCTCCTGCTTTGCTTGTTGATGTGGCTGAAAGCAGTTCTCACTGCACGTTCAAACACTTCTTGCACCCCTCTGTTGTGAAGTGCTGAGCACTCCATGTAACTCTGTGCGTCGATGTCTTTTGCCAGCTTCCTCCCATCAACTGTGGTGATGGTACGGGACGTTCCCATAGCACGATAGTCTGTCTGAGTGGCGACAACCACAACTGGAGTATTAGGTAAATAGTATCTGACTTCTGGCATCCATTTGTTCTTAACATTCAGGTATGACAAAGGGTTTCCCACAGAGTAGCATATTAATACCACATCGGCCTGCTGGTAGGAAAGAGGACGAATCCCTGTGAATGAATCGTTTCCTGACGTGTCCCAGAGTCCCAAACTGATCTGAGTTCCGTCCATAAATACGTCCACCCCAGTGTTGTCATAAACTGTGGGTCTGTAGGCATCAAGGAACGACTCTGATGTAAACCGCACCAACAATGATGTCTTCCCAACTTTTATATCGCCCACAAGAACACATTTTATGGAACTCATGGTGCCGCCAATAAAAATGCCAAGTTTTTATACAAAGCAGGTCCCAAGTAGTGAGTGCTGCATAAAGCTTTACAATAGCTCCAGTCGTAGTGTCTTGAAAGAACTGATCTCCCTTCTCAGTGCAGAAGTCGTCTACAAAAGAGTTGATGCTCTTACAGTACGCTCCACCCAAGATTTTTTCTCACACTGTTAAAACAAGAAGAAAACATTAAGAAACCACTCAGAGCTTTGGTGCACATTCAGTAAAATACCACAACAATAACACATTTGGTTCCTTAAATACATCCTTCCTTAAATTGTCACAATGTTAAAACTAGGAAGAAAGTCATTCGCATTATAAAACATTTAGCAATTTCTGTAGATTTCTACCTTTATCAATCACTCGGCTGTTACTGCTTTCCACTGCAGGCTTTCTGAATAATCTTCAACACTGTAGCTGGTGCTCTGTTTCTAACATTGATGCTCTGCAGTTGGATTCACAGTTCTACATATATATAGTTTTTCCTTCCTGTTTCCCATAGGGACAGTCAGTGGTAGTGCAGTTCTTGAAATTCAAAATGACGTACCACTTCTAGTGATATTTGTCAACTTACTTCCTCTCAAGTCTGAAGGGATTGCGTTTTTCACTTTTCACAGTAAAAGGACGTATGATGGGACTCTACAGATACACAAGGAGGAAAGGTACAGATCCCAGAACAAATCATTCAAAATGAAACTGCGGCTGATTTTTTTTCACACAGCTAGATGTCCGATACATACAGAAACCATCACCATGCTTAAAGAGTATCCCAACCAGACTGAAAATTCCACTTAGGTATGCTACCCACACATTGAAAATTCATCGTGTCTGTTAAATTAAATTTGCCGAGGAAAGTGATTTGGGTAAGCAGGTTACATCCCTCCATGGAGAAAGTGCGCATTCCGTTCCAGACACAAGGACAGAATTTATCTGTTGTCTGCTGTGTTTTTGTTCAACATTAAATCTACTTTTACCCACAAAACACACAGTGGCTCCACTTTACAGTATATCTTGTTAAGCTCTTCAAGACATCCTCCTAATTTGAAACGCACCAATCAAATATAAGGAGAATTATTAAATGACTGTGGGTGGGGGGAGGTGGGGGGGCACAGAACTTACTTCCAACCTGCGGTGAATGTTATCATCCTCTCTCTGCTTTTTAGCTTGGTCGACGCCATTTTGTTTTGATTTTTAATTAAGCGACAGCTATAGTTTTGAAATTCTGGCCTTGAAATGATTTCTGATGGTTTCAAATTGATATTTCAGCCATTACCTGGTGAGAAAGATCAACATGGACACTCTCGCCAGCCCCGGAATACACTTTCCTGATGAAGCCCGACACGAGGCCTGGCCATAGATCTTTTGGTTGCCACCTCTGAGCCGATGTAGAATGATGTACAATATAAACTGTTGTGATAGCCCCAGAGGATCTGTGCTGCCTGCAGTGAGATACGAAGTATGGCACTGAATGGGGTATCACCTCCCACATCCTGTGCTGATAGTCCATGTGACACAAATGCAGGTGTCTCTCACCACAAGACCTAAAAGAACCATCTGCACTGCCTCACTGCTCCACGAGAGTACTTTTGTATACTTTCTCTCTATCTTATGTATCAAAGATGAGTCATATCTCTGGCAACTCACCCTTGTTGCTGGTGAAATTTGGAAAAGTGTTCCTGCTTCACAAAAATAAATCTGGAAACATGTCCGGTTCCTCTTGTCAGTAACGTTAACGAAATGGCATTGTTCAAATATATTATATTCCCAGCAATTGCAATACTCATGTCTGTCACGAGATGTGTTAGAAGTGGTCAAATTCTACTGTGGTTTGTTTCTGTGTACTGTGGCTTCGGGTGGGGACCAAGGGGAAGTAACTAGTTTTTTTAAGGGTTACTTTAAAAAAAATAGGGTTCCTACAACAGTTTCAAATATCTATTCTTTTTAAAAACATTTCACACAAGACATTAATAGGGCAGTTCGCCATTTGTCAATATCAAGGAAAATCACTTGCCCTCTACAGTGAGTACATTTACCAAAGATCAGCGAACCATCTCTTACTTCTCAACCAGAAAATAAAACAAATTCATGGTCCAGAGAAAAGAAAGAAATGGACCTTCCATCAAACATCCCCGAATGCAGGCCTTGTACTCTATAATACTATAGTAATAGAGTAAAGTATAGTACAAATATGTGCAGACTGACCAATCTGTAAACTCCACCAGCATCACACTTAATCCACAACTTTCTCTTCTTATGTAAAGATTGTAAGGAATTAAAAAGAATCAAGGCCATTCAAACCCAGGTTAATTCCCGGGCAGAGCGAAACCTTAGTTGGGCAAGTTTCCTTACTCCACATGTCTCTATTTACCTAGCAGTAAATAGGAACCCAGTTATTAGTCGATTGGCAGATTGCTCTCTGGGGGTAATAAGCCCTTCAAAAATAAATAAATGAAATAATGATAATAGTTTGGACACTCAATCCACAACTGTTTGTATAACACTGCTGCGCACAATTGGCTGCTGAGCTTCACCCTCAAAATGTAGTCAGTTCCCTTTACAGTATATCCTGTGAAGCACTTTGAGACATCTAGAAGACGTGATAAGGCGCTATATCAAATGGAAGGAATATTTTTATAAACCTAAGTCTGGCCAATTCCCTCCCTTGGGACAATGTGAACGGAGCTGTCCTTATTACAGTTCACAAAATTAACAATAATCTTTGAATTTGAAATGATCATGTTGAAACGTCTCAAAGAACTTCATAGTAGGTTGTAAGTACTGAATGTACTGTAACTTGGAATAATTTTGTTTCCAAAGTGTAATCACAGTCTTGATTTACTATTTTTCTGCGAATTCTGGTACAATAATGAGCTACGTTGTGCCTGAATAAATTATTAGTCATATTCCCAACATTGCTACAGAGCATCGATGTGTCATTGTGCTGTGATCATGCTGCAACTTTCAGCCGTTAGAAAAAAAGGCTGTGGTTATCAGCACTGTCGTGTGGAGGAGTGACTGAGGATGTTACTGATATGTTCCGGGGCTTTTTCCTCATTTCCATTTAGCTCAAAGATTCAATTTCTAAAAAAGAAGTAATACATTTCTCACCATCCTTGTCTTACCAAGTCATACTGTATTTTTTATTTTGCAAATCAAATATTTACAAATTTTGTTCAGAATATTACATCTCATATCCTGCAAAGGTATAAATAATCACTAGCAATAGGCCCCAAAGCAACATCACCTCATAAGTGTGCAAGTACACAGTTCAAGTTGTACCCAACAAATAACATAACTAAAGAATGTTCATAAGGTGTGTTCATCATCCCTATCAAGACTTGTAGGTTGCTTCGGTTTGGAAGAGTCGTTTTTGTATGCTTTTAGATTTTTTTGTAAAGATAAAATATTGCACCCAGACTAGTCCCAGTAGTTCTTCTCGATATTAATGTAAAAAACATATGCATTATAAACGCCATTTTGTCTCATAACATATAGAAGCAGGAGTAGGCCATTCGGCCCTTCGAGCCTGCCCCGCCATTCAATCATGGCTGATCTTCTAATCTAACTCCAGCTAATAACCTATCCCTGCCTTATCCCCATATCCCTTAATACCTTTTACAATAAGAGATCTATCTATCTCAGTCTTGAATATGTTCAAGGACTGAGCGTCAACAGCCCTTTGGAGTAGCGAGTTCCATACATGCTCCTGGAGTCAACTCTTATATCACCTTCCTGAGTGTACATTAACAAATCTAAATATACAATCACATCCTTAATGTACTGTTCGGTTTCTTGGTTCCTCCCACTGGATGTATTTTACAGCATTTCATAACACAGCCCTTTTGATAATTATCAATTTAGCCAAAATTAGACAAATTATGAGATGAATTAGACGAGCCAGGGCTCTTCAGTCGTGAAAGGAGATGTCTTAGAGGAAAGCTTATTAGAGGTACATAACATTTTAAATAATAATATAATAATAATCCTTGCATTTGATACAGTGCTTTTCACGTCTTCCAGACTTCTCACATGCGAGAGACCTGGGTTCGATCCCAGGCAGGGCGAAACCTTGGGCAAGTTTCCTTACGCCACACGCCTAATAATAATCCCTCAAGAAAAAATAAATAAACAATAATTTGGTCACTCAATCCACGACTCTTTGTGGGACGCTGCTGTGTGCAATTGGCTGCCGCGTTTCACTCACAAATATACAGTCAATTCACTTTGCAGTATATTCTGTGAAGCGCTTTGAGACGTCTAGAAGATGTGAAAAGCGCTACATCTTTATTATTGTTATTCTAAATGGGCTGGATGATCTGGTTCGTACGAACATGATCTTTGTGAATTTCTCATGATCACAAGAAACGGATCAAAAATTGTATTCCCAGGTCATAGACAATATTGGATTTCCATATTTTGGAAGAGCAGAAATGTTGAATGTTTCTCATGTGAAGCCTGTATTTGTGCAGTAACAGTCAAAGCACATAAGACAAAGGCTTGGAGGTGTTTTAAGAGAGTTCTTGTTCAAAACAGGTGCTCTTCTAAGAGGATTTTGAAGGTGGCGGTTTGAGCCCTAATTCATTTTTAAGCAATAGTGGGACGGGCAAGGCGGGAGACATGAAGCAGGCCGGAGCCCGCTGAGTCGAGGGATCAGGCAGGTTGGTAGGGGGTTAGGAGGTCACAGCAGTAGCGGGAAGCGAGGCCATGGAGGGCTTTGAAGGTGAGGACCAGGATCTTGAACTGTATCCTCTGTGTGATGGGAAGCCAGTGGAGTCGGGTGAGGATGGAGGTGATAGGGTCACGGAGCCTAGTGCGGGAGAGTACACGAGCTGCAGAGTTCTGGATGATCTGCAGCGATGCAAACGAGGTTGGCAGAAGAGAGGATGAGACCAGGACACTAAAGCATATTAAAGCATACTAAACTGAATAGGCTCAAAGTCTTTTTAAAATTATACTGTTTATTATCAATTCATCAAAAACACAGTTTTTTAATTGAGTCAATTTTTCGGATCCACGACTCTTCGTCAGAACTGGACCCGAAACGTTGACTCACTTTCCTTCTCCATAGATGCTGCCTGACCTGCTGAGTGTTCCCAGTCACTTCAGTTTTTTAATTGTTATTGCTGTGTTAATGTAAAATCTGGACTTGTATAATCTAATATATTATGAGTTTTTTTAACATAAAGATTCTCATCTGAAAATTGTTTCAAAATCTGTCTAGCCAGAAATGGATTGAGAATAGACAGAATCGAGCTGGACAGATTCGAGCTACCAATGTGAAACTAGAGCTGGATATTATGGTGAAGTGTAGTGGTTAATAATACGCAACAATTTATATTAGGCAATAACTTGTTGCAATTCTAATAAAGGCAGGTCTGCAATGTGAAATTGCTGAGTTTCAAAACATGAATGAAAACAAGCGCCATTGGCTCCTTTTCGCAGAATAGACCGATTTCTTAATCGTCACCGAAAAATCGCTTCATGCCTTGACACTTCCCCACCTCTCCAACCTGCTCACATTCCACTCCTCCACTCCACTCCAATCCCCTCCCTCGGTCAGTTTGGACCTTCTACATATCCTCCCACCCCTTGGCTCCAACATTGGTGACCGTGCCTTCATCCCAAACTTTGGGAACTCCCTGTCTCAATCCTTCTGTCTTGCCTGCTCAAGATGATTTCCTAAGAGTGGACTGGAAGAATATAATATGAATACCAGACTCTTCCCAAGTGGGAGAATAGGAGTCAAGCAAAGACCAAGTTTCTTTTCCCTGTCCTCTCGCCCTCTCCCACTCCCCCAGTGCTGCACTTCATTATCAGCCTAGTGCTGTTAAAAAGTACCACAAGATAATACACAATCCTAATTCAACCACCACATATGTTGTAACCTATTTACACAACTCAGGGCGTATCTCTGCAGCAATTACATTCCCACTATCTGTCAGTGCCCTCATATACAAATACAATTTGTTGTTACACAAAGCAAAGATTCCTGTTCTTATGTACCTAATAAACAATTTTAAACTAAAATTGATTCCCTGAAAATCTCCTTACTTCATCAAATGTTTGCTCACAAAATATACATAGTCACACAACTTTACAATGTATCCTGTAAAGCGCTTTGAGCGTGTGATACAGTGCTAAATCAAATGGAAGGATTATTGTTATTATTATTATTATAAGCACAAATGCTTACTTGTGTATCGACCCAAAGTGTGACGGCTGATATAATTGGGAACTCTTTAATTAAGATATGGTTATAAGCATCTAACAAGCAATCTAAATTAAATGGTATATGTTGGGCAAGTTTCCTTACCCCCCACGGCTCTGTTTACCTAGCAGTAAGTAGGAACCCTGTTGTTAGTCGATTGGCGGATCGCTTTTCCGGGGATAATAATTCCTTCAAAAACACATATAAGAAATTGGTCACTCAATCCACAACTGTTTTGGACACTGTTGTGCACAATTGTCTGCCACATTTTGCCCACAAAATATACACTTTAATTACTGTAAAGTTAATTCACTTTACTGTATATTCTGTGAAGCGCTTTGAGAAGTCTTGAAGACGTGATAAGGCGCTATATTAAATGCAAGAATTATTATTATTATATTTCCTGCGATAATGACTTAGCAATACTACCAAGGCCACAATTATTTTCTTCTCTGTTTTTGACAACTTTATCATCAAGTACTTTGCCTACACAACCTGTTGACATGACATTAAAGCGACATGTTAAAAACATGAGGAACAATATTAAAGAAAGCTTCTGATTCCTCACAATTTCCATG